TTGCCAAAGTTGATATTTACTTCTCAGAAAAGCAATTTCTGCAGCCCCTCAGCATAAGTGAGTGTCACCTTATTATTAAACACCAGTTGGTGTTTAGCAAAGGCAAAATAATTCCTTGAGTTCCCTTTATGCTAATATTGTACTGGAAAGCTCTACCAAAAGAAAGGCAAAAAAGCCCTGGAAAATTGAAAAATATGTGATGCTTTACATACTCAGTAACAAAGCTGTTGTGGATTCTCCCTGCCAGCACTGCCTTCCTCCTGCTGTACTGCCCCAGGAGCTGAAAATCACTTTTCCTCCCACCAAACCACTGCAGCCCTAATTGGATGACTGTTAACGAGTCTCCTTGCTGCACTGAGCAGCCCAAAGATTTCTGAACAGTTGTCTAGCAACTTCAGCCTCAGGAGCTTTCCTGGCTTTGTATCCCAGGATCCCAAGAACCTGTGGCTGCAATGGAACACTTCCCTTGGGAAGTGACTCAGGCACTTTCTATCAGCTTCTTCAAGGGAACTGAACAGGTGCTTGTTACCAGCCTAAGGGAAGAATCAACTCCCATTTCTCTTTTGTGTCTTTGGTGAAGCTAAAACCAAACAGGTAACAGCTCATACTTGGTGATTTTTAAAGCAAATCCTTACAAACATGTAAAATCACCCAAGAACCTTACGCTGCAATGGAATCTTTGCAGGTGGGAGCAGTTCTGCCCAAAAGCAGGGAATGCTATGGGAATATCTGATTTTTTTGTGTTGGACATTACACAGCTGAGGGAGTTGGGGCTGTTCAGCCTGGAGAAGAGAAGGTTGTGTGGAGACCTCAGAGCAACTTTTCAATCTCTGAAGGGGCTACAAGGAGCCAGAGAGGGACTCTGTGCTAGGAACTGCAGGGACAGGACAAGGGGCAATGGGTTCAAACTGAAGGAGGGGAAGTTTAGGTTAGATATTAGAAAACAGTTTTTCCTATGAGGGGGGTGAGACCCTGTCCCAGGTTGCCCAGGGAGGCTGTGGCTGCCCCAACCCTGGTGGTGTTCATTCCAGGCTGGATGAGCCTTGAGCAACCTGATCTAGTGAGGAGGTGTCCCTGCCCAGGGCAGGGGCTGGGGCTGGATGATCTGTAATGTCCATTCCAACCCTTAAATTCTATGATTTTATCAAAATACATGAGTTATAAAATGAACCAAAGGAACAATTCTAAATACCAGTTAGCAATAAATCTAAGCTTGCAACCTGATAATCCTGTGATGAAACTACCGAAACAAAACCAAGCCATTCTTCTACTTTCTAATACTATGTAGTAATACAAGTGTTATACAAAAACTGAATTATACAGGTATGTCTTCCTGAAATGTGTTCTTTGCAAAAATTACCTCTGCCTTGAACAAAACCAAGTGATAAGCTGCCAAGTGTGCTTCTGTGCAAAGCTCAGTGACATGTACTGAAAGCAGAGTATCACACTACAAGGAGTCTGAAGGAATGAGTAGCCACTTCAGTTTGTACCCACAAAATTCAAGCCTGATAACAGCACTGGAAACATAAAGTAATCGGGTTAAGTGCTTCAGGAAGTCTCATCTTTTCAGCTGTCATGTGAACAAGTGTATTTACCTGTTTCTCCCCACGCACATTTCTCACGATTAGAATGGAACAGTCTTATCACGGATAGAAAATATTCTTCCCCTTCCCAAATTAGAAAAGACACATGTAAAAAACATTGAAGTACTCAGTACAGAGTCTTTCTATGATTGGCTTCAACGGCTGAAGTGAATGAAAGTCACTAAATCTTCTTTTTGCCATTGTTACTACTCAAAACAGTGTGAAGTTATTATGGAGATATTAATTCTCCCAGAATATACCCAAGTGCCTTCTCCCAAACCTTTTTTCTTCATAAGTTACATTAGTTTAAAATCTACTATGAAAATAGTAGCTCAAGAATAATCAAATAAAAATTCTTCAGATGAATGGTGTAGTTCTTTTAAGGATCAAGATGCAGAGGAATCCCGATGGAAAATACGCTAGTTATGATGCTTTGTTTGGTAACACTCCTTTACGACCCAAATCAAGTCTTCACTCCACGTTCCTGTATTTGCTGAACAAATTGTACAGTACTCTCAGTGTAGACTTCAAGTCACAATTTACAATATCTAGAAAAAAGACAAGGGAAAACAAATTAGTAACTTCATTACCTCAAAACAGTTTTCAGGAAAAAAGTGCCTATTCTCTACTCCCTTTGCTTGTTCAGATCCATATGCATGAACAGTAGATCACAAGCACAGGTTTTCAACTGGCAACTCAAAAATTGCTATTTTAACCACTTTTAGTTAAGGACATGGAAAAAATCATCAGGCAGGAACCAATGGAACTCTCCTCTTCTGTAAAACCTGTAGGACTTGGCGCGTTCTGGGCTGCAACATCTTTTATTAGGCCTAATTTCAGCAAGATAGCTACAGGCAAGTTTAAATTTTCCAAGGATCTAAATAAGGTAGATATACAAGTGCTTCTTGAAGACACTTCTGAAGATTCTGTGAGTTAGCTGATACACATGGCTGAATCAGTCCTCAGAAACTCAACCTCCAAAGCACAGGATTTATATGGAACTCTGAGCTAATGAATACCTTCTGTTTCAGAGAAGTTCTTGAGAAAGTCAATATTATTTCACAAGAAATCTATAAAACAAACTGACAAGTACTACTGCAGCAGTCTGTGCTCGTGCTTCAAGGAACATCCCATCTCAAACAGGGACTTAGAATTGCCCTTGGAACAGAGTAGAAATCATATTGTCCTATCTCTTTCTGTTGACTGTACAGGAACTCGAGCTCCTAACTTTGGGTCTTGGAACTGGCCATGAAGGTGTAAAGCAGAGGCTGTGCACACTCTCATTATCTTCAAACCCCCATGTAAGCCTCATAAACAGTGTATATAATGATCACAGAGTTTTGTCATTGTGTTCATCTACACTGATGTTTCTCACAGATTGTGAAAGGGTTAGACTCTGAAAAATGAATCCAAGCCAACCTATGCATGGTGCCCCAAAGTAGGGACACTTTGAAGGGCTAAAGATATTGGCTATATGGCAAACTGACATCCACAGACAAAGGGTGAAAACGCTCAAACCTAGATTTTATGCTGAGCTTACGCATGGTCATGAAACCACAGCCACTATGGTTTTGTGGCTCTTAATAAATCAGATCAAAAACGCTTGCTCTAAAATGAAGAGGAAATGCCAAAGGCTACAGGAAGGAAACATTGCTCCCACATCATCCTGCTACAACCTGCAATACTGTTTGCATATAACGTGGGAAGTTTCCTCTTTCCAGCAGCAGCAAGGTGCATAACACCTCTCCTTCCTAAGGCAGAACTTCAAATGAATCAAGGGATAACTGTGTTAGGTCTTTGCAAATTTACCAGGAGACTCCAGCACCAGAGCAGAACTCCAGAGGAAGGCCCAGACTCACAGCACCCTCTGAGAGCAAGAGGAGTCACTCCCACTGTTACCTGTGTCTGACTGACATGTCTAACTTTTCACTGGTCGCATGTTTCAGCAAAAGAACCTTGACTTTGGCTTTGATGTACACATTTCAAGAAGCAATCTGAAAAAGCTCAAACTGCAAATGAATTTGTTATAGACTCAGTAGATTAATGTTCCAGCCATTTTGAAAGGAAAAGGTCACGGAAAGCTTTTTAATACCTTCTCAATTATATTGCAAACAACCCAAATAAACTGTTGACCCCATAAAAATCATTGGTTTGCATAGTCATTTATTTAACTGCATTCTTTTTTCCACTAAATATGTTTTTCATATTCTAAAGCCCTTTTCAGCATATTTTTTTCCTCAAGAACCTCAAAGAAACAGTGTAGGAATTTAAAGAGTATTTAGTGCACACATTTAGGGCAAGATCCTTTTCAATACTCTTTTGCTCACTGGAAATTTTAAGCACGGGCATTGTGCCCAACGTAACAACACATAAAACAGATGTGTTTTTCCATTCACATTGGGCAGGAAGTTTCATATTAAGCATTTCAATAATTGCACAAGAAATGTCTTATATATGCTGAAATATCCTTATGGCTTGATTTATACTGGAAAAATTAGCTGTCCCCTAGAGCAATAAATACCTGAAAAATTAAATGCCATAAGAATTTTAAACCTCCATGGGGAGTAAGGGATCACAGATACTCTCTGTTTTACTTGGATCCCTGGATTTCACTGTTTCCCCCTTCTCTCTTTGACTATTTCAAACATCAAGGTTTGTGATACACTCACCACTGTTTTAGTTAAGCATGATTGTGGAGAAGAGTTCAAGCAATAAAGGAAGTGGAAAAGTAGGCTGGGGAGGTCCAAATTTAATGCAGAGGCAGCACAGGCTCAGTCCTGAGACGTATTATTTTGAGTTTGTGCACATGTTTGCTGCTGTCATGATCGGGAAGTTGGGATGGAAAATTAGCAGAATGGAGCAGAACCTGATTCAGTGATGAGTGCCTGAATCTCCAGAGAGTTCTCACTATTAGAAGCAACACTCTGACATCAGCTTATATCAGCTCCTCAGGGAATGGCAATCCAATATTAGGGCAGGAAAAGACTGTGAGCACCATGTAATGTGAATCTGCAATAGGTTGGAAAACACACATCTGTAAATTGATTGTTATGGTAGGTAACCAGCAGAAGTCCAGCTACCATCCCTGCTGGGAAGAGTGGAGCCTATGTTTGGTCATGCAAATCTTCCTCTGGCCACTGAAGAAAGGAAATGTTGCAACATTTGAAAAGTGTTATCTATCAGCCACTTAAAATGCAGAGTTATGTGAGCACTTCAAAATGTATCCTATTTTTGCTTTTGGATTAATATTTTAACTTTCATTTAGCCACACCATAACCTGTAGCATCTGGATGCAATGCAAATTTTTAAGGAAATACAAAAAGAAGTAGACTAGATACCTTCTGGTCTTGGCTTTGGTTTCTCCAATCCACCATCTTGCATCAGCTCAAATGCAAAGGAAACATTGAGGACCTGGTAATATAATGAAGGTAGTCACTATTGTGAACTTTGTGTTTCAAAGTACCAATGGTCAAAACAAGAGGTATTTAAAAATGCAGACCCAGATATTGAGAAGAAAACAAAAAAACAGTCAGGGCTCCATATATCAGAAGAACTGGTCCATGGAATCCAGACAACCCATTGTTTTTGTGTTTCTGGGTGGTGATGGTGGTTTCAGAAATATAAAAGTAATTGAAAAATAACATGTGAACTAATATTACCCATAGACAAATGACTTACAAGTAAGAATAGCTCACCTCCCACAAGTTTAGCAACTGGAACATGATGGCCCATGAAGTGCTCCTGCCTTGAACAGACAGCTGAGTGGCCTGGACAGCCACAGGCACTGAGGGAATGGCTGGGCTCAAACTGACACACTGTATGTGTCTTTATGCTTCCAAAAAACATTTAACCTTTAAAATGTTAACTTCTGGGATTCTGGACACAAAGATATCAGTTTTGTCATCAATTCTTGTGTGTAATCCTGCATACACTAGTGAACAGTAAGTCTCGTTCAGTGACAACATGACACAAGGGCTGCCAAAATCTCTGAACACTTGCTGCCCACCCCCTCATTCATAGAATTTCCTGGTTTATTTCACATCAGTATTAACACTAAAATTTTTCAAATGGTTTCCAGTACAGTCCTTCCTTGATTTAAGCTATTAGCATAAAAATTATGTGGAAAAGTTTGTGTCATCCTTGTCCAACTAGATGTGTTTATATGTTTGTTTGTTTTCAATAGGAAAAAGTAAATCTAATTACCTTTTGTTCAAAACTATCAGGAGTCAAGAAAAAGCTGTGCAGGGGAACAAAATAGCCTTCTAGGAGACCCATTAGCAGGACTAAGTAGACACCATCTGCAAACTGTAGAAAAGACATTTTTCAGTACATTTGCTGAAAAATCTCTCATTGCTTTGCTTAATGAACAAGATATATATTGTCTAATGCAGAACTGTCAACAAAGTGCTAATACAAATATCTTAAATTGCAACTAAAACACATCTGACTTCCTTGATTCTAGTTAGTTAGTTGGTTAGTTCTGTTATGCCTAATTTTAAGTGCATGTAATTCAGGGGAAGATATCTAAGGGCTAGGACATACGTTCATTTCTATCTAAAAAAGTAGCAACATCCATAAGAAGGACATGGACTACTGTCAACAAAGTGCTAATACAAATATCTTAAATTGCAACTAAAACACATCTGACTTCCTTGATTCTAGTTAGTTAGTTGGTTAGTTCTGTTATGCCTAATTTTAAGTGCATGTAATTCAGGGGAAGATATCTAAGGGCTAGGACATACGTTCATTTCTATCTAAAAAAGTAGCAACATCCATAAGAAGGACATGGACTTCTTGGAGTGAGTCCAGAGAAGGCCACAAAGATGATGAGTGGAGCACCTCACCTCTCCTAAGGAGATAGGCTAAGAGCATTGGGGTTGTTCAGCCTGGAGACGAGAAGGCTCCAGGGAGACACTTCTAGCACCTTCCAGTACCTAAAGGGGCTACAAGAGAACTGGAGAGGGACTTTTCTCAAGGGCAGAACAAGGGGAATGGCTTTAAGCTGAGGGAGGGCAGGGTAAGCTGAGGGAGGGCAGGTAAGATATTAGAAAGAAATACTCTGCAAGCTGCCTGGACAAGTTGCAGACACCCCATCCCTGGCAGTGGTCAAGGTCAAGTTCTTGGGGCTTTAAGCAACCTGGTCTAGAAGGTGTCCCTGCCCACAGCATGGGCATTGAACTAAATTATCTTTAAGGTCCCTTCCAATCCAAACCATTCTGTTTCTGAGGTTTTGTCAAAGGCCTCTCCCTCCTACCCCTGGGGCATCACATGCACTGAGGTATCTCCATGCACTGAGTGACCTGAGGCAACCCATCACCTTCCTGGTAATTTTGAGGCAGGTAATTTTCTTCCAAGTGATCTCTCACCTCAGGCAATAATGCTCTGGATGCTTAAGGAGTTTCTAGGTACATTTGAATAATATGTTTTCCCCTCAGAGTAAACAACCCAATAAGCAGAAAAAGGGAATATCCTTTTGAAAGTCCTTATGCATTTCCATCCAAATCTTTATCTCTGAAAATCTCTATCAGATTGATAGCCACTTAAATAAAGCAGAGATTCTTACTAACATGAATCGAGGCATGAAACAAAGCCTGACCTGAGGACACCTATGGTTCTCTGACAGTGCAGGGACCATCCCCTCCTGCCTGACCTTGTGATTCTCTTCTGACAAGCGCCGCGATTGTTTGCGTGGGGAGGTATTAATACAGCAGGACTGAGCTTTTCATTTAGCTTCTTTTCAGCCCATTTAGCAGCTGAGAAGAAGAAAGAAGCCCATGTACTGCATTATTTCTGTGGAGCAATCAGGCCTGCAGCCCAGCTGTGCAGCTGCCTATGCACTCGAGTAGCTCTGTTCTCAAGAACATCTCCTGAATAGAATAATTGTACCCCAAGAGACTGTGCCTGGAGAAAGGTAGGCAGGAAACAACTGCTCGGCCTGACACTGCAGCAAACCAGGTGGATGGAGCTCTTTCCTCACCAAAACAAGCAGGTTCTCCTTACAGCACTCGGCAGTGCCCTCAAGGTAGCATCTGTTAATTAATTTTTATGTTAATGGAAGTACAAAGCTGGTTTAGATGGTTAATTAGTGAGGGTCTTCTTCACATAG